CGTACGGACATGGTATATATCTGACATTTTAAAGTAATTATATAAGATATCAATTTTAAAATACTATAATTTTGTTCAGAGTCAAATAATAATATGAATACGCTACAAACTTCCTGATTTTACCATGCACATTTAGCCCGGCATAGAATACATCATCGCGAAAAGCGACACTTGATGAAATTTCGTAAACTCCGATGTCAGACACGGACTGCAGCAATGTCACTACTATGTTCTCAATACCTACTATGTTTAACACTTTTTGGATTTTTTTTGTGTATTATGAATTTATGATTAATCATTTTTTCGTGGAAATAGTCGCATTTCGGCTTATTTGAAATAGAAAAATCCATGTACGTACGAATAAATCACGCAGTCTATTCATACGAAAAAAGAAAAAGCAATGAAAAACGTGATTCAAAAATTTCTAAAAGTAATCTAGTTAACCGTGATTCGAAAAAATTAGTCGTGAGTCGTGAAATCGCCAAATTTTTAGCCGTGAGTCGTGATGCGTACCACCCCATTTAGACCCTCCTAGAACGGTGACTGGGATTTTTCGTGTAATGTCTTGATAGCGACTGTTTATGTCGAAACGACTCAAAACAAAATTCCAACGTGAAAAAAGTTCGAATTAATTCCCTTCGGAAATACACGTGTGTATTTAAGGTGGAAAATGTTTCATATGCATGAGCATTCAATTCTTAAAGGTTTAATTCTATAATCATTTTGTTTAATTATGTAAATAAATTTAACACGACTTGTACTGTTTCTCTGAATGAAAGTCGAGCTGCGGGTTTTCCCTTTTCTTTATTTACACTTTCAAATATGACCGCTTCACAAAAATGCACGGGCTCACTGGCTTACAACCTTGGCGAATTCATATGCAGGCCTGGTCGCAAATCAATCACCCAGGTAATAAGGGTGACCTTTATCAGATGTAATTATATAATTATAATATATATATAATATCAAAGAGGCAAGATTTGCTGTAACGCCGAGTTYCGTGCTACGCACTTAAATACTGTCTGATGAGTGCGTAGCTATATGTGTATTGAGCACTCTTTAATGGGATCAGYTACTTCCTCATATAATTATAATATATTTTACTTTATGCATATTCAATGTGGGATGATAAGAGTGCTTTGTAAAGTGATTCGCGCATGAGCAGTTTGCCCCATTTATCTCAAAACTTATATTTACGGCAATTTCTCCAAGAATTTTAACGACTTTGAGTTTCAAATTAGTGTTGGAGTTTTTCAAGCCGTTTAAAACACTCGAGATAGTGTTTTATAAAACACTCTCTCTCTCGTGTTTTAAACTATTACATAATTTACCCTATTATATATATTTACTTAAGTTAGCGGCCAGGGGCTGCTGGTTTTACGAAGGGTAGATAAAGCTATCCACCAGCATGTGGTATTTTTTAAACCGTTAGATAAAGGTTGATCCGGTTGATAGCTCTATTCGCCCTTCGTACAACCGGCTCCTGAATTTAATTCTTCATTTGACTGTACTGTGCATTCAATATTGCAGGATCGTGTATTCCGTATGGTGAATAGCGAAGTTTACCTCAACAAGTCATTGGATTACGACAATGGTAAAAGACAATATGTACTGAACATAACAGCTAAAGTAAGTGATGAAGCTGTCATTTCTTCATTTTTATATATTTGATAGAAGCAGGGGGCCTGGTTCTAGGGCAAATCACTGTGCAGATTTATTCTGCTACTTTATTTCTATTTCGTGTAGAAGTCCTTATGTACATATGTAAAGAACTCTACATATTATCCCCTTGAGACTCGACAGCGAGTATATAAGTCAGAATACGATTGTATGAGGAAGTAGCTGATCCCATTAAAGAGTGCTCAATACACATAAAGTGTAGAGCTAGTTATATATATAATATCAAAGAGGCAAGATTTTGCTGTAACTCCGAGTTTCGTGCTACGCACTCATCAGACAGTATTTAATGATAAACATTCCTATAATCTAGATATA